CTTGCAGTGCTTCCAGAGCTCAGCAGGATGCAGTGTCTGCAGGAGGGCTGTGCTGGCCCTCGCGGTGCGTCCAGGACTCGGCAGGATGCAGTGGCTGCGCGGGAGGGCTGTGCTGGCCCTCGCGGTGTGTCCAGGACTCGGCAGGATGCAGTGACTGCGCGGGAGGGCTGTGCTGGCCCTCGCGGTGCGTCCACACGCTGCAACTGCCGCTTTCCTCCTCTTTTTGCAGCAGGGGAATTAGCTCAAATGGTAGAGCGCTCGCTTAGCATGCGAGAGGTAGCGGGATCGATGCCCGCATTCTCCACACCTTTTCCTGTCCCCGAACGCACTTGCCAAAATCCAATAACCCCGGCCTTCTTTTCCAGCAGGCTGCCCTTTATAGGGACTGTCCGGGGAACTTGGTTTTGATGGGGAGTGCTACGTTTTGGGCGGGATGGAATGACCTTTCCAAAGGGAAGGTGAGCGTAGCTGTAAGGCAGTGGCGGGCGGCAGATCTGTCTGTCCTTTCAGGAAACAGCAGTGCTGACATGCAAAGTGTGGTCTCAAAACCCAGTTTTTGGAAACCCCCTCATGAGCCTAGGTGGATTTTTTTAGCTTAGAGTTTTCACTCTGACTGTTTAAAGCTGGTGAATGCTCGAGCTTTCGCCTGCCACACAAGCACATGAAATGAGCGGCTGCGCTGCGAGGGCCTTCACCGCTCACACCAGTTCCGCCAGCGTTGCGCGCAGCACCTGGCCATGGGGAAGCGGAGTGGGGCAGCGTCCGCTCACCCAGCTGTGCACTGCCGCGCCAGGGGCTCTCCTTAGGCGGCTTCGTGCCTCTGGCCCTGGTGCTGTCCTCGGCCCAGCTCTAATAACCGCCGGGCCCCACGTCCCTACGAAACCTTGGTGAGGGACCTCGGCACCGGAGGCAAATCAAGCCAGGTGGAAGTTGGCTCTAGCGGAGGCTGCGTTGCCCTCGGCAGACTCGCGGGAGCAGAGGCGGTTGCCGGTCAAAGAAACGCCCGAGCCGGGCAGCGCGTGCGAGGGGAGGCCTTGCCCTCCACCGCCACCAGCTCCCATGGGGACATTTTTGCTGCCCATCTTGGCAATTTTACCTGAAAAGTTCCACTGAGTCAGTTGCTTTCCTTGTGCACATGCTTGCCAGCCTGCACAGGCCTTTGCAATGTTTGCTAGATCCCTCACAGGTCCCAGCCTAGTGACACCTGGGTCTCAGCTTCCCTTTTATGCCTCTCTTGCTCCCCACAGATACCCACAGCACCAGGTTCCCCACCCTGGCTCCTCTGATGCTGCAGCAGCCTCCTCTCCTGCCTGCTTTTATTGGTCCCCTGGCTCGTGGAGAATGACACAAGCTCTGTATTTCTGTCCCGTCACCAAGCTGCCACTGCTGCGTGTATTTACCAAGCTTGCCAATAGGTGCCACGCAGTGAAGTTGATGCAAGATCTGCCCTTGTGCTGAGGAGTTTAGTGCCTCTAATTAAATGTTTTATAGAACACTGAGCACTTTTTGTGAGAACCTGAAGGAAGCAGGCAGGAAAACAGCTTTGCAGACAAGCAGGCGCGAGGTGAACAAGTTTAGTGCCTCTAATTAAATGTTTTACAGAACACTGAGCAGTTTTTGTAAGAACCTGAAGGAAGCAGGCGGGAAAACAGCTGTGCAGACAAGCAGGTGCGAGGTGAACAGCGACAGCAAAAGGCTGAGGAAGGAGGCCGAGGTGGGATGCGCTTGTGAGGCGCTGGTGCTGTGCGACCTCCCTGTGCGCCGCTGCTCTCCCTGCATCCTGGAGGAAGCCGCGGGGCAGCCAGGCACCGGTGGCAGCAGCCGGGATGGAGCAAAGGTTGGTTCCTGGCCTGCTCCTCCTGAGGCAGCAATGGCGGGAGAGGATGAAGTCTGTCTCCAGCTTCCTGCTTGCCTGCAGTCCATCGAGGCACTAATTAATCTTCTTTTGGCTGAAGATGGAGGGAAGAATGAGGTGATAGTGCAATTAGCCTGTGATTCAGCCTTATGGGGAGGGAAGGTTGAGGAAAGCAGCAGGAGTTTGGGAGAAGGGAGAGGATGGAGACACGGGGCCCAGCCTGCCAGGGGTGCAACAGTGAGGGCAGCTCTGGGGAGGCGCGAGGGTGACGACACCTCCCGGCTCAGCTGCAGCAGCCGCGCGGAGCCCCGCGGAGCCGGCGAGCCGCCCTGCCGGAGTGCGGCGTGGTGATTCACCCACTAGCCACGCTGGGCGGGAGAAGAGCCATCGCCGTCCCAAAAGTGCTCTCCCCCTCCAGCAGGCACCGCGCGCGCGGCAGCGGAGGCTGCGCAGAAACCGTGTCAGGAAGGACGCGGCTCTGCCTCCTCGCTCCCTCTGCAGACGGCCGTGAGGAGTGAGGTACGTGCGCCAGCAACCTCCGTCTCCCCTTGGGCCTTCCTTGCTGTTAGTGGGGAGAGGGCCCGAGGACTCTCAGGGCCTTGCGTGGCAGGGGCTGCTCCAGAGGGGACGGCTGGTTGCAATTACTTGGAGAGATGCTGCTTGCGCCAGGAAGCTGGGAAGGGGTATTTTTACCAAGAAAGTGAGGGAGAAGCCAAGTTGTCTCTTCTTCAGCGACCCAGAGCGTAGTCTATAAAGCTCTGAGTCCCTCAAAGCCACTCTCTGCTTTTCCCTGTGAAAGTCCAAAACTTTCTTTCCAGGGAAAAAAAAGCACTAGAGAAAAGAAAGTGAGCAAGGGCGTAGCTGGCAGCTGGAAAAGGAAGCAAATCAGGGCGGCGATGACGAATACGTCCCATGCAAAATCATGCTCCGGCACCATCGCTCAGAATGGATGCAGCCTCCCTTGACTAGGTTGCTTTGGGTGCGGAGCAGCTTTGGAAAAACCCCGGAGAGGGGAAGCGCACAAACGGTCACACAGCGGTGAAACTCCTGCCCACCGTGGCTCCGGCGGCTCCATCTTCAGCAGTGGGGGCAGCTGCGGGTGGCCCTTGCCACTGGTGAGCCCATCTGCCATGCAGTGCGTCCTGTCTGCCGTGCAGTGTGTCCTGCCTGCAGTGCAGTGCGTTCTGTGCACCCCGCAGCACATTCTGTCTGCGGTGCAGTGTGTCCTGTGCACCTCGCAGTGCGTCCTGTCTGCTGTGCAGTGCGCTGCACTGAGGCAGCCCCTCCGTATGGCTGCCCATCAAGCGCAAAGCTGGGGAGGTTCTGGTGGAGAGGGTGTTTTTCTCCAGCGGATGCCATTCCTGGGTCAGATGGGTGTAGCAAAAGCAGCTAAACCTTGCAGTGTTGCGGGGGCTGAGGAGGTTTGTGCTGGGGCCAGGGAGGGGGCCCAGACAAGGCCGTGGGCCCAACAGAGCGGTGCACAGGCGCGAGCGTCACCAGCCTCCCGGGCCGGAGACTTTGGCCCAGCAGCCCGGTTAGCCAAGAAGCCCTTTGGCCATCTGAGGAAGCTGCTGCCCAAACTTGCCGCCACAGCAGCCTCCCCGCGGCAGAGCCCCTCTTCGCTGCGGGGGTCCGGTGGCCTGTGGGCCCCCAAGGGCGGGATGTGCCCGGCTCTGCCCCCGGGACACCCGGGAACGCGGCTCGGGCTCGGCCCCGCTGCGTGGGCAAAGGGCTCCC